TTTATATATGTATGTCCCAATAATGTGCAAACATATAAAAGTTCCAAAACAATGGAAAGTTCCCAAAAAATCCCAAAGAAACCCCCATTCGCATCCGGTGTGAATATTAAGTGATATAGTAATAAATCTTCTTATTCATAGCAATTCTCTGTGCGTAGTGCTCCCCATCCAGAGCCCCACTCACCACAGATAATTGACCACCTGGAATGGTAGGTCAGATATCGCATAAGATGTTGCAGCGCTTTCCTGCAGGAAAGTTGGCCGTCTGTGTGGTCTTGACACCTCTATACACTGATGACAGACTCCATAGTAGAAACACCTCTAGATCAATCGTTTGCGACAAAACTCCTGGAACCTGCACAGTAGTCCTCCACCACTGTAAAAACATCAAAGAGAAGCTACCATAGCGTAACACTGTATTTATTGGGTAAAAAAACATTTAAAATTGCATTTGCATAAAAGCCATGTGTATGGAACTTTAAATCCCAGCAAAAAAGCAATTCCTTCTCAGAGGACAAGTGTAGCGCTATGAAGCCCCACTCCTGATGACGTCATATGAAAAAAACATGTAGGGCGGGGCTTGATAGCTCTACACTTGTACTCTGAGAAGGAATTGCTTTTTGCTGGGATTTAAAGTGCAACATTTTATATGTTTATGCAATTGTGTGTGTGTGTGTGTATGTGTGTGTGTGTGTGTGTGTGTGTGTGTGTGTGTGTGTGTGTGTATATATATATATGTATATATATATATATATATATATATATATATATATATATATATATATATATATATATATATATATATATATATATATGTTTTATACAATTTCACTGTTTACATAGTTTATGGCATTGTATATGTGCTATTTTTAGCACTATTGTCCTTTAAACACCTTGTATTTACTTACTGGTTTATTTAGGATTTAGTCACTGGGGAGGAGGAATATAATTGCCAGCCCACGGGGCATTATAGCACATGCACATTTGTGGGGACTCTTTGTCTAGTAGGGAGTTCATTAATTTATTAATTATTTAAAGTAGTTTTTGAAAGAGGCAGCGCAGCAATTTTTATGTTTGCACTCACACATTTGTTCACCGGTACACATTTGTGATTTTGCTAGCAGAAGCCAGTCTAATTAATTAGTCCTCTGCGCAGGTAATACTCACACACTAAATGCTTGATTGGATTCATGTACCTTGGATTGTTTGTTTGTACCTTTGTACAATTTCAATAAATGCAACTGTTAAAAAAAAAAAAAAAAAAAATATGCAAAAATGTTTGTTTATATAATATGTAATTTATTTATTTTTTACACTTTTTATCTGTTAATTAAACAGATGTACTAAAGGTGACCGTGCTCGTTATAGGCTAAAGACTGTGTGCATGAAGCCTCCAGCCGGCATGTGATCACTCTAAGCTCTATTCACAAAACGTTAACACAAACCTAAGGCAGGCTACACACCGTAGGATTTTCTTTCCAGCATACAAAAATGCTTTTTCAGAATATTCTTTATTGCCAGCACTGAGTCAGCTAATTTTAATAGCCTTTTGTCAAGACCTGCTATTTGAATGGAGTTCGAGGTGTATTTATTTATTTTTTAGAGTTCCTGGTGTCATGCAGCAGGTTTCAATATAATATGTATTATTTTTCCTTAATGAAAACTTGCACAGTTCTAATTTCATTTTGATCTAGAAAAAATTTCCATACTGTTTATCAAATTTTCTCATCACTGAGCCGAAAACGATCATCAATTTTAACCCCACTAACCATTAGAAAATCAAATGAATGTTAAAAAACAAACTATTTGTAACAAAATTATTTGAGTGTGTATGGCCATCTTTTAGGTGTGCTATTTTCAGCACGTGAAAGTAATCTTCAAATCTCATGGACTCCGATGCAAATATTTGTCTTTTTTTACAGTAGAGTCCATTATCTTGGTCTTGTTAATGTGGTGAATTAAGCCCCATGGCAATGTTGACATAGTGATCATGAAATCAAGGACTACTCTGTTTCCCAATAGGCAGCTGGGGGGACATGTGCATTTATTAGCCACACAGGGCAGATTATGGGGGAAGGACAATGGCCACCATTTTTTGGTAAATTCTGTTTATTAAAGGTTTTGGCTTAGGTTTGGTTAGGATGAAACATACAGCCCCCCCCCAAAAAAAGATGAAAAAGGGAGTATTGTTCATTTCTGCGATGGATCATTCATAACAGTACTCAATTTTGTGTGTGTGTAAAAAAAAAAACAAAAACAAATTACTTTTTAGAAAGTAAACCCAGTGACAGCTAGCCACAACCAACAGTGATGGAGCAACAAACTTACATCAGTAGTACACATTGAAGTGCAAAATGCAAAGTTAACGACCTCATCATGAAAGAGGGCAGAAAATAAAGAGCTCATAGCTACATATGAAAAAACCAAGTAATAAAGAAGACCTAGTAATAAAAACAAAACTATGGCTACAGGGTTTAGGTAATAAACAAGAGTGTAATCCATCTTATAATATCCAAAAAGCAATGTCCAATCATGTTTCAAAAAGTACAAGAATGTCACCAGAAGGGATCTGCAAAGGAATCAAAGCAATATTAAGTTGAGGTGACAATGACAACCTCAACCACAGAGTGATCTATCTGCAACTGGAATTGTTGGGGACCAGTTTGTCTATTTCTAGTGAATAGTACTTCCAGCCAGACTAGATGTTCTGAAATTGTTCTAGTTTACCTTTAGAGATGAATACGACCTCTCAGCCTCCATGACCTTTTCAACCTCTTGTAGTGTTGTCTGTTTCCAAAATTTAGGAATGAGTCTCTTAGCGGCCTTTAAGAGGTGTAGGCGGTGTTACACTATTTTTGTACAACTTAACAGAACAGGGGGTATCATGGAATAGGTAATGGAGCGGGGTGAACTGGATCAACTTAAGGGTAGTTTTCTGAATCCATGGGGAAATTTCATTCCGAAAATTCTGAATCTTGGGGCAGTTCAACCATAGACGTAGGTATGTGCCATTCTGGGCACATCCTCACCAACATCTGGGGTCTGCTCCGGGAAAAATCCTGGTAAATGTGAGGGCAACTTGTACCAACAGGAGAAAAACTTGTAGCAGGATTCCTGGGTCTTGGAACTAATGAAGGATACATGAGATAATTTTGTGCAGTTGAGTTGGCGTAAATTCAACTCCCAGTTTTGTTTTCCATTCCTGTATAAAGTACGGCACTGTCTGAGAGTGGGTGGTAAGGAGAAGTTTAACAATCTTTGAATCCATGTGTACCGCTAATGATAACGCCCACCACCTTTTATCCCAAATGTTTAAAGTATTGTTAGGCCTTAATTTTGAGTTCAGTTTCTGCAGGAAGGCATGCATTTGCCTATGGCACCATGGATTCATGGGGAACCTACCAAGGGATTGCTGAAGCCGATCCAGGGGTAGAAGGTGGCCCCTAGCTGCAAATTTGGAGCAAGTAGTATCACCACCCTTATACCAGGCTTTGAAGAAAAGCAATATCCTCACTCAGCAGAAGCCAAGGAAACCTTCATGAGGCCAAGGGTGAGGTCATGGGAGAAAATCTCCCTGCTCTGTTTACTCGGTCCCAAAGATTTAAGGTAGTGTGAATGAATGGGGATGTCCATTCGGATAATCTGGCTCCTTTCGGTATCCATGGGGCTCTCACTAGGTTATGTCCTGTGAAGGATTTTCCAAGGGTAACCCAAATTTTATCCTTAGAGTTATGATGCCAGTTAAGAATGCAGACCATCGCCATAGCTTTACAATATACGTTAACATCAGGCAATCCTAGTCCCCCATCCTCTTTACTTCTGTGAAGTATAGCATATGCTAATCTTGTTGTTTCCGCTGCCAAATAAATGTAGTGCATTGTCCACGAGCCTGCTTAGAAACAAGGGAGGTAACCAAATGGGTATGATAGTAAGCAGATAGAGAATTTTTGGCACAACCGTCATTTTGATGACATTGACACGCCCTAACTACGAAAGGGTACTCTGCTGTAACAGCAAAATACCAAGCCTATTAGCACAGTGCTGTCTATGAACATGCTAATAGGAGGAGAGAGCAGAGGGATGACCTCATTGTGCTGCTGCTCCTTCATTGTTCAATAATGGTCATATCTGAGTTCTGGACCAGGGTGTGTAGTGTAGAATGGCCCAGTATCTGGATGTGCTTCCTGACCAGAGTGTCTGGATCACAGGACTAGAATATAAATGAAAATAAATACAAAAAAAAAATATATATATATATATTAGTTTGTATTGCTATCACAATGCTGATGTTATAAAATTTAAGTGTATGCCGTGACCACAGATATCCTTGAAATCTATCAAATGACATCCTTAAAAAAAATAGTAATTGCAGACATATTTATATATATATATATATATATATATATATATATATATATATATATATATATATATTTCATGTGAGTTCTGTCTGTCAGCTGCTCAACTTTCCACAACTTCCTGGATTCCCTGCATGGCCTGTAGATTTTTCCTCAGCTGTTTACTTTCAATTTCTATGGACTGCATATCCCATGATACCTTGTTGCCTGCAAGCTGTGATTCCTGTACTGACTCTGCCTCCTGAAACTTCTCTCAGCTCCTCTGTAGTTCAGGAGGCAGGATCAGTGAATTCTGTGACACAGTAACCTCTTAAAGGTGCAAGGGAAAATGACCAATTCTATGCTGCTTCTGAAAATCTCAATGCATTTAATTCTATTTATTGATGTTGCCTTTGTAATACATGACAATCATGATGATGAGCAACATTAACCAATGTTCTTCCTTCCTGCCTAGCACAATAAAACCGATTTGGTCAAAAAATGCTGCAAAGTTTCTGACAACAGAAAGCAAACTTTGATAAAAAATATTGGTCATTCTGTGTTTTATGTGAACTTGTACCATCTTGTTTTTTTATTGATAGTATTTGAGAGACACTAATGAAATTGCAGATAATTGTCTAAATCATTTTGTGTCATTTCTAGATAAATTATTTTATATCTACACTTCTGGGACAACCGGACTTCCCAAAGCTGCGATAGTGGTGCACAGCAGGTGAGGACATTTTCTGTTTATTGCAGCACTCCGACATCAAGGCCAGAAATCCCAAGCACTGACATGCCCTTTGTTTGCAGATATTTCCGCATGGCTGCCTTGGTGCATTATGGGTTCGGCATGCGATCCGATGACATCATTTATGACTGCCTACCTCTGTACCACTCTGCAGGTAACCTTCCCTTGTAACTGTGCTTAATAGGCTGTTAGTGCCTACTCATAAAGATGTATGTAATGAGGATACAGAGCAGAATGCCTCTTCCACTGATTGCAGAGTTTGGCCTTTTGGACTTTGGATTTTGGTCTCTTCATGAGAATTCTTTTTTTTACATTTCTTGGCTCCCAACATATAGACCAACGTATAAAAACAAAACCGAAGGAATTATGTGTTGTCCATAGCAGCCAGTTCTATTTCAGCTGTAATTTTAGGTGCATGTAGACCTAAAAAAAAAATCTCTTGCTATGGGCAGCACAGCATTGTCCTGTCTGCTTTTGTTAACCCCTTTTTTGACCAGAGTCATTGAAGCCTTGATACCAATACATTTACCAGATTCATTCTGTGTGTTCGTTAATATATACTGTATATACTGCTTTGCCACAGTTAACAAGTGGAGATATGCTCTGTAACGTCAGTATAGGTCCACTTTAAAGCTGAATTCTTTTTAATGGTCCCTCCAATATATATTTTTTTAAGTGATTGTAAAGGTTTTTTTCTATAACATACATGTCACACTTACCTGCTCTGCGTAATGGTTTTGCATAGAGCAGCCCTGGTACTCTTATTCTGCAGTCTCCGCTTGCACTCCTGGCTCTCTTCACTGAGTGCTCCCATAACTGCTACCCAGCTGGCTCTTTGTGTCCATAGACACACAGAAAGTGGCTTGGTCCCGTCCCCCCGACCCTCCTCACTGGCTGTGATTGACAGCAGCGGGAGGCAATGGCTGGTGTTGCTGTCTCTGAGCCCATTATGGAGAGAGACACTGCTCTTGTACACATCGCTGGATTGAAATATTGGAGTCAGGTAAGTATTTAGGGGAGGGAAGGCTGGGGGGGGAGCTGCATGCAGAATTTTTTTTTTTTTTTTTTTTTTGTACCTTAAGCACTTCAAGTCCAGACACTTTTACCCCTTTTCTGTCCAGGCCAATTTTCAGCTTTCAGCGCTATCGCACTTTGAATGAAAATTGCACGGTTATGCAAGACTGTACCCATATGATTTTTTTTGCATTTTTTGAGACAGATAAAGCTTTATTTTGGTGATATTTATTCACCACTGGGATTTTTTTTTTTTTTTTTTTTTGCTATATAAATGAAAGTCCAAAAATTTTGAAAAGTGTTTTTCTTATAAAACTTTGCAAAAATAAATAATATTTAATCATAAATCTTTGCCAAAATGTATACAGTTATTGTTTTAGTAAAAAAAATAATAACCCAAATTCGTTTATAACCAAAAATTATAATTTTTAAAAATTTTTACATTTTTATTTTATTTTTTATATTATTATTTGTTTTTTTACATACGGTCACCCTAGCAGTACAGTGTCACCATACTAACACTGTACTACTTGTGGGGGGTGATGAAGATTTTTTTTTTTACATTGATTACTTTTACACCCATAAAGACTGTAAAAGCAATCATTTCTTCTTCTCTCTGGCTGCATTCTTGCAGTTATTGAGAAATACTGTGAGAGCTGTGATTGGTCACAGCTTGTCACAAGGTACAAGGCTGTTGTGAATAGCCTTGTACCATGTGACCTCTGTGATCATTCATAGATTTCACACGTAGTAAGCAATGATGTCAGAAGTGACATCTTGCTTACTACTCTGCATGTGATCGGGGCCTCGCACAGTGGTCCCGTACGATGATCAGTGTTCCACTGTGTCCGGAAGACACAGTGGACACCAGAGCGCAGTGCTGCGCGCACAGGCAGGAGGCGGGGAGGCCATTTATAAACGACCACCCGCCCCTGCACTGCCACCGTCCGGCCGTTTATATACAACGGCTGGATGGGAGGTGTTTAATGCATAGCAAGCATTAAGGTAACACACTTTCTGCATTTAAAACCACTTCAACTGCTTTATTAAGGCCTTTTTTCTTGCAATCTTCTGGCTGATCAGATAATGCTACTTGGACTATTGGACTTGCATAGTGGTAGGTGTGTACCACTTGTTCTATGAGTACTGTGAGTCCAGGTTGCTTGATGATGTTCCCCAGGAAGCGGGCCCTGGGCTCGCAGGAAGTGGTTCATATGATGCTGAACTTCTAAATGTCTATTTGTTGTGAAACATTTTTGATATTGCTGTAAATTAATATAAATTCTCATTTCTCAGGGAACATTGTTGGAATGGGTCAGTGTATCGTCCTCGGACTGACAGTTGTCATCAAGAGGAAATTCTCCGCATCACGGTTTTGGGATGATTGTGTTAAATACAACTGCACAGTAAGAAACCTTTGTATTTTTCTGAATATGCTAATAGAAGTTGTCCATTACTGTTTTGTCACATGCTGATATGATGTATTATCTATTTCAGATTGTCCAGTATATTGGTGAGATTTGCCGATACCTCCTGAACCAGCCAGTGCGAGACACAGAGGCACAGCACCATGTGCGCATGGCTTTGGGCAATGGACTCCGCCCCGCCATCTGGAAAGAGTTTATGACGCGGTTCAGAGTCCCTCAGATTGCAGAGTTTTATGGAGCCACAGAGTGTAACTGCAGCTTGGGCAACTTTGACAACAATGTGAGTGTGTTGTGGGTGTTTATGTCTTTGTGTGGCAAAGGAATTGTATTGTGCAAGGTAACAATTGTCTACCTGTACCACATTTTTCACTTTTTTCATTGGAGGTTACAGCCCTGCTTTAGATCATCATCTTTTGTATATTGCCACTTGCAGGGGCAGCGACTGCTAGTAGTCAAAACCTCCCACATTGTGGAACAAGCTCAGTTATTGGCCTACAGCAGCCTATCTCAGCCTGGGTTCTGTGGAACCCTAGGGTTTCTCCTGAGATTGCTAGAAAAATGTTTTTGTTTTTTTGTGAACTTTGGCAAATGAATCTCCCACCTATGTTAACCACCAGTGGCAAGTGGCTATTTTTCACTGATCACCACTTTTACATGGACCACTAGCATTGGGGGGAATGCCACCACTAGCGCTGGGAGACACTACAATTTTCACTTTCTTTATTTCTCTCCTGTTATTTCTATTAATTTCATATTATATTATGATTGGAAATAATTTTGATGTTAGCAGGTAGGTGTTAAATATGATCTGCTTTGGGAGTCATATAGTCAAGTTATGCCACATTATTTTTTTCTTAAATTTCTACAACTTGCTGATCATAATGCACTATAAGCCTTAAGTATAAACCTTTCTAGCAGGGGTTCCCCGTGACCTGAAAAATATTTTAAGGGTTTCACTGGGGTAAAAAGGTTGAGTAAGGCTGGTCTAGTCACATTAAGCACATTGTCCTTCCAGTTAGTCCACCATTATTACCATGAGACCTTACCCCAGAATTGGCAGTGTTGCAGAAACCACCTTTGGAGGGTGAACATGAGGAAAAGAAATAGCGGTACTCCAATATACAAACAGAAAACGTTTCATTAATGATATAATATAATGAATAAGCACTAAAGGAGTGTGAAAGACGTCTACTGATGTTCCCATAGCCGTGTATTGCTGTTTTTTTATCTTCATGGATTGAATAATAAAGGAGTCTGCTGTTTGTGTATTGGAGTGCTGCTACTTCTTTTCCTCATGTTCACGGATTGTGGTAGCGGACCAAGCAGGCCCACAGACACATCTAGGAGCATGGGATTGAGCAGCGTGTACCCTGTATGCTGTCACCTTTTGGAGGGTATTCAGGAGATCCTGCTGCTAATGCTCTCTCAAAGTGTTATTCCTAGTAGTTATTCCTTCGGTGTGCAGAGTGTCAGAGCTGGCAACTTCCATTTTTGGACCTTCATAAGGATAAGGTCATCTTACACCCGAGACTCTTTTCTGGCTAAGATGATATCAACTTTCAACTTGAATGAGGACATTGTGCTTCTATCACTTTGTCCCAAGTAGGGAGGGGAATGGCAAAAAAAAACAACATAAAAATTGGGGAAAAAACGTTTTTTTTTTTCAAAGCTGTTTTTTTAGGTTTTGGAATACAATTTAAGTAACACTGTACTTCTCAATGCAGTTGTCAAACAAAGGCAATATGCATTTCCTCCACTAGGGGGCACTGTAGGGGAAAGGCTCAAGTTTAGTTTGTTTGTGGACTCCATCTTGCTCCTCCTACAGGTAATTGTTGAGATACAGTAGATGATAGTTCTGTCCTCTCAGGCCTTAACAGTTAAGAGGATAAATTTGTCTGGAAAATTAGTTTATCTTTATAACCTTTTAAATGATTCCTATTAATGTTCTCTATTGTCACAGCATAATGTTTACCTATAGTCTAGTGTGGAAATTTTGTTTTTTCCTTCTCTCAGTAAAATGGTGAGACTGATATCTAGACTTTGTAGAAATTGCACTGTGGAAATGTTTCCAGAGAATAAAGCTGCAAATTGCAAGTATTGTGAGAAGAAATATTCTTTTCCAAATGCTACAAGGATGACAAAACAGATCCTGGCATGACAGTGGTGCCCTAAAGACATTACAGAATACTTTATGGAATTAAATGATGAGGACCAGAATGAAAGTGCATGCAGCTTTTCCCTCCACAGGTCTCATTCCAGAAACACTGTTTCTGCTGCTTCTGAATCATCACAAATTTTAAAAACAAGGTTTAGTAAGTTGAAGTTTTATTTCAAGCAAAATACTTTATATATACACTATTTCACATTCCCAGTTTAACAAAATTACTTTGTTTGTAAAAATCTACAAATCTAATCTACTTCTACCATCCCATGCTGGATCTAGCAAACTATAGTTCAAAGTTATGCTATCAAGCACCAAAAATTACAGTTTCCGGTAGAGTGCATTTTATGAGGGTGTTAAGTAAATCCTGAGCTTTCCACCATCAGGCATTCATTTCTCAGGTTTAAAATAGGCCACTTGGTCATCATACATTCACCAGGTTATATAAAGTGGATGTGGCAGTATCATCTGATGCCAGTTTTGGGCACAAAGTTTTGCAGGTGGCAGTCTTGCTGGCCTGTATCATTCTCTTTGAAGTAGGTGGTGATCTAAAGCAGAGATATACCCTCCAATGAATATGAAAAAAAAAAATAATAATATAAATAAATATATATATATATATATATAATATAAAAAAAATATATATATATATATATATATATATATATATACACACACACACACACGCACTATATTGCCCAAAGTATAGGGACACCCCTCCAAATCATTGGATTCAGGAGTTCCAATCGTCTCCATGGCCACAAGTATAAAAAATCATGCACCTAAGAATGCAGACTGCTTCTACAAAGCGTGATACTGTGATAGGTTGCCACCTGTGCAATAAGTCCTTCCTTGAATTTTCCTTACTACTAAATATTCCACAGCCAACTGTTAGTGGAAGCAACTGAGCCATGAAGTGGTAGACAACGTAAAATGACAGAGCGGTGTAAGCGCATGCTGAAGCGCACAGTGCGCAGACGTCGCCAACTGTCTGCAGAGCCAATAGCTAAAGAGCTCCAAACTTCATGTGGCCTTCAGATTAGCAGAACAACAGTGCATAGAGAGCTTCATGGAATGGGTTCACATGGCCGAGCAGCTGCATCCAAGCCTTACATCACCAAGTGCAATGTGGAGTGTTGGATGCAGTGGTGTAAAGCGCATCACCACTGGACTCTAGAGCATTGGAGACGTGTTTTCTGGAGTGATGAATCATGCTTCTCTGTCTGGCAATCCGATGGATGTGTCAGGGTTTGGCAGTTGCCAGGAGAACGGTACTTGCCTGACTGCATTGTGCCAAGTGTAAAGTTTGGTGGAGGAGGGATTATGGTGTGGGGTTGTTTTTCAGGGGTTGGGCTTGGCCCCTTAGTCCCAGTGAAGGGAACTTTTAAGGCATCAGCATACCAAGATATTTTCAACAATTTCATGCTCCTAACTTTGTGGGAAGAGTTTGGGGATGGCCCCTTCCTGTTCCAACATGATTGCACACCAGTGCATAAAGCAAGGTCCATAAAGACATGGATGAGAGATTTTGGGGTGGAGGGACTTGACTGGCTTGCACAGAGTCTTGACCTCAACCCCATTGAACACCTTTGGGATGAATTAGAGCGGAGACTGTGAGCCAGGCCTTCTCATCCGACATCAGTCCCTGACCTCACAAATGCGCTTCTGGAAGAATGGTCAAACCTTCCCATAGACACCCTCCTAAACCTTGTGGACAGCCTTCCCAGAAGAGTTGAAGCTGTTATAGCTGCAAAGGGCGGGGCCAACTCAATATGGAACCCAACGGACTAAGACTGGGATGCCATTAATGTTCATGTGTGTGTAAAGGCAGGCGGCCCAATACTTTTGGCAATATATACTTTTATGTTTAAATATGTAGATTTTTGCATTGCTGTATCATTTAACTCAGCTTAATCTAAAGTGTGTGCGTGTGTGTTCAGGGTGTGGGGGTTGTTTTACCAGCAGCAGGGCCACCCCTGGGCTGTCTCTTGTTTTTGTTTTTTTAGTTGTGCCTTTTGTCCTACTCCTGAAGTGGCACTATACAATGTAGGTAATGATCTAAAGCAGAGCTGTGTCCTCCCTTAAATGCAGAGTAAAGGATTTTACAGGGAGTACGGTGCAATCCTATTTATGTCCATTTTACGTTTTCTCAACATAAGTTACAGCCTTCCCCACATTTTTATAATATTTCAGTAATTTGTTCTTCAGACCTCTTCTGTTTGTAGTTGCCATGGGGGATCTGTACATATATACCTTACACAAATCCACAGTGTGAGGAATCGGTGAAGTGACTTTTGCTATTGCCTTATCTTGTTTATAATTGTTGATAATGCACAGTTCCACTCACAGAAGCTACAAGGAAAAGGCAATGCTTGCAAGAAATAGCCTCACCTTGTTAAGCAGTTGCGATTGAGCTTCACATAGCATTTAGATTCCTAAATGATTGTAGACAGAATTCACTAAGCTATGTTGCTTGTGTTATTTTTCCCTAGCACCTGGCAGATATTATTAGTTATGTGACTGTTATTTTTAGCTATCATTGAATCTACTTTAAAATGGAAGGGGGAATCATTATGATTTAATCACACGTTAGGAAATTTGTTTACAGCTCACCTTCTTAGAACTTCCTTTCCAAGACGTCAAGTCCATCTAGTAGTGCAACCAGTACAAAAAATGATTTGAATAAATAAATGGGAAACCTTCCCATACAGAGCCCTACATCCACAGTTAATCCAGAAGAAGGCAAAAAAAACCTCTATAAAGTTTGCTAATGTTTGTAGCGTCGTAGATAAATAAAAAGTCAATCTCTCTGCCCCTCGTTCTCTTTCCCATCTGTATATCAAATTATATATATCTGAGTCCCTTTTTTATGGAATGAAAAAAGGGAATGTTTATTTTAACCTTGAACTGATATCTTATGGTACTATCTTCTATCTAGGTGGGATCCTGTGGATTTAACAGCCGTATCCTACCTTTCGTTTATCCAATTCGGTTGATGAAGGTAAATGAAGAGACAATGGAGCTCATTCGAAGCCCTGAAGGCCTCTGTATTTCTTGCCAGCCAGGTGAGTCCAACATGAAATGAATTTTTTTATTATGTAAGACTTTTGCACTAAGGAGAAGTAGGGCCACAGCTCACTCAGCCACTCCAGACTCTGGAGAGATCCCGATTCTAATGTTGGGATCTGCCCAGATTCCTGAGCGGTAGCTTGCTCAGCCTTTTCAGCGCACTGCTAAGAGCCTAAGCTAGCCACTCCCATTGCTCCAGTGAGCACTGGAGGGGCAGAACAGAGAGCTGGTGACTGACAGTCATTGGCTCTGCTCACTGAAGACCAAGAACTGAGTGATCAGTGTATGTGATCCGAGATCAGTGTTTGAGTTTGTGACATTAGTGTGTAGGGCATTGATCCGTACACTGATACCACAACCTCAAACACTGCTCTCTGATTCCCCCACACTGATGTCACAACCACAGGGGGGAGTGTTTGAGGTTATGACATCAGTGTAGAGGATCAGAGAGCAGTGTCTGAGAAAGTGACATTAGTGTAAGAAGATGAGGAGAGCAGTGTTTGCGTATATGTCTGTGTGCGGATCAGAGAGCAGTGTTTGGCGATATGACATCATAGTGGGGAAATGTGACATCGGTATTTGGGATTGTGACATCAGTGTGGTGAGGGTTCAGCTGTGTTTAGGACAGTAAAAATGCCAGAAGTTTTGAAGGTTGGGAAAGTGGGCAGATGTTTTTTGTGTATGTTTGGACCCAGTTAATTGAATGAAACAGTGGCTGAATGAGAAACACAGGCAGCTAAAGCAGAAACAGAGTGTTAAAAATTGCCTTTCAAACACTTGGGTTGTCATTTCTATAGATACCTAGAGTAATTACAGCTATTTTTTAGGGTTTGTTTTCTGGAAGTGAGACTTATATATTCATCTTTATTTCTCATAGGAGAGCCTGGACAGCTGGTTGGAAGAATTATCCAATCAGACCCACTTAGAAGATTTGACGGTTACGTGAATGAGTCTGCGACCAGCAAGAAAATAGCCAAAAATGTTTTCAGACATGGTGACATGGCATATCTTTCTGGTAAGATTCAGTGTGGAATCAGAGAAAATAAGACATTTGTCTTTGTTCTCAGTTTCAGTGGGCCACCATAAGGGGGTGTGAAGTAATGTGTAAATCTAGAGGGGAAAAAACATTCCGTATATCTCTGCAGTACATGCACATTTCACCATGTTTACTGTCTTTTTAAGAATGCGGCAAGTACAGAAAAATGCCCTTTTTTCTGACAGAAATCAAGTGAGCTCCTAATTTCTTATTTTAGCAGTGCCTCCTCTCCACTGAAATTCCCAGCAGTATTATAATCCATGCCTGAGTTCTTCCTTGTTAAACTTTAGAACACCTTTTCCTTCTATAATGTAGAGTGAGGGTGTTCTGTAGTCCAAAACAGGAGATGGACTTGTAACCTTGAGATTGTCCATGATTTTCCACAATTTTTGTTCTCAAATCCTCAGACAATTCTTTGCTGCTCTTTCTTCTCCATGCTCCATGTGGCACACAGAGACACCCAACGGAAAGGTTGAGTCCATTTTTCACCATTTTAACTGATTGCTAGTGTGATTTCTATATTGCCAGCACCTGTTAATTGATACAAGTGAATTTAATTACAAATTACAGGAGCATCACAAACTTGGAATTCAATTATTTCTTACAATTTTGAGAAGGTGCCAATAATTTTGTCAATTCCATTTTTGGAGTTTTGAACGCAATGTGTCAGATTTGTTTTTTTGTTCGCTTTTTTGTGTCATCCAATACAAACAAGTGAATTAAACATGAGAATGCCAAAACGTTTGTAATTGCAAGTTTCCTGGACGAAGTGGGGCATTATCTGAAGGAAGTGCAGGGGTGCCATTATTTTTTGCCGTGACTATAAGTTAGGCTCTGGACTTCTAGCAAGTCACTGGGAAATATTCTCTCCTTGCAGTGCGTTTCTAAAGGTTTGAAATATGCATGTACTGCAGAGATGTACTGAATTTGTTTTTGTTAATTGAATCCCTGTCAATCCTTTTTTTTTTTTTTTTTTCTTTGCCTGAATAAGTAGGTGTTTTCTTTCTGACTTTCCTTTGAGAGTTAGCTAGAAATGCTAAAAATGTCACTAAAGGCAAACCTTTCTGTTTTCATTTTGATTGAGTAAGGCAGTGTTTCTCAACTCCAGTCCTCATGGACCCCCAACAGGTCATGTTTTCAGGATTTCCATTATTTTGCACAGGTGATTTGATCATTTTCACTGCCTTAGTAATTACCACAGCTGTTTCATCTGAGGGAAATCCTGAAAACGTGACCTGTTGGGGGTCCATGAGGACTGGAGTTGAGAAACACTGGAGTAAGGGATGGTTATAACCCCTGTTTATTTTGTTTAATTTTTTTTTTTTTTTCTTCAGTCCCATAGGGGAGATTTCCCTTTGCGTCCTGTCCCATAGCCAAAGCAGGAAGTGAAAGGAAATCTCTCCAAAGTGAGTGAGTCCTGGGGTGTCTCCAGGGTAACCAGAACTAGTGTTCCCATTGGAAGATTTCCCCTCTATTCCTGTTCTGATGTTAACCAAAAATTTAGGATTTTCTTTTAGTTTTTGATGATGGTACACAGGACAAATAGAGAGGGTGAGAATTCCCAATGGGGTCACAGACAGCAATAAAAACTGACGGGTGTTCTAATCCTTCTCCACTTTATCCTAAACAAAACAAAATTGCCTTTAGTGATACTTTAAAGTTCTTAATGGAACTCCAGATATTTATCTGAGCTATTACACCTAATATTTAACCCAGATTTGCCTATTCTGACACAGGTGATGTACTGGTGATGGATGACTATGGTTACATGTATTTCCGGGATCGAACAGGAGACACATTCAGGTGGAAAGGAGAGAATGTGTCAACCACAGAGGTGGAAGGAATACTCAGCAGACTCCTTGGGCAAGCTGATGTGGTGGTCTATGGAGTAGAGGTGACAGGTAAGACTGAGCTTACCTTCTTCAAGCATGGCCTGCCTACACCTGATCTATATTTTTACAAAACTAAATATTGATGCACTTGCCCTGTCTAGCCTTGTATAAAATCTTCCTGAACTCCTTTCCCACTCTAGGAACAGAAGGAAGAGCAGGTATGGCAGCTGTTGCTGACCCTGATCGTAAATGTGATTTACAGAAGTTCATCCAAGATCTTAAAAAGTCACTGCCTGGATATGCACATCCGGTCTTTCTCAGATTGTTGCCAGAGGTGAACAAAACAGGTAGGAGCTGAGGACTTTAGGGAGACCTGCCTCATTGTTAAAAAGAGGACTGTTTAAATATCTATTGTTGTAATGATATATACACAGCACAAGTAATTGATTTGGATTAAGAGCTTTAAGTTTACAACTTTCAAGAAGTCTTCATGACATGTTAGTTTGAAAGGTCAAGAAGGTCCATAGAGACACTTTCTGAACATCTTAACCAAAGCTCCATTTTTAATTTTGATTACTGAGGGATTAATATTCTACATTCCTCATTTGATGGCGGGTTCCGTGTTCCTAGTTTTCAGACCTGGGCTGTAACTGACAGCTAAAGGTCTCAACTAACAATCAGAAACAACCTGCTTGGTTCCAAATCAAGTTATCACTATTACAGCCAGTTCTGGTTATTGCATGCAGGCTTGGGGTTTCATTCACAAACGTTTTTCAGGCCGCAGATACAATTGCAGCAATGTTCCTCTGCTAAATGCTATGAGGAACAGGCTTTATTATTAGTCCCTAGCATCTAGAAGTTAGGACTGGTTCCTCGCTAGAAATTCTAGTTCCTTTGGTTTTACGTTTACAGAAAGTCACTAGCTGAGTGATAGGCCAGATAATATTATTCCTGGTAGTCTGTCCAGCAAGTCATGGCCTGAAGCCTTCATCTCATCCTCTGGTTCACCACTCCGAGCCTTGGATGTCACGGGGCCATCCTCATCCCTAAACTCCCTGGCATCTATAATGCAAGGTTTTCAGTCGCAGATAGAACATGCTTTTTCTCAGTTCAGGGCTAGTAAGAAACTCCTGCCTCCCCCTGTGTCTTCAGAGGGGTCCAAAGCGATATATTTTCAAGCAGCAGATGCAGTCTCTGCACCTGATGACAAGTTGCAAATTCAGCCTCCTCAGGAACCACAACAAAGTATCCAGATTAATTTTACTCCAGGAGAAGGAGTTGGTGTCAGTGCTAATTAATGCAGTCTGGGATATATTTAAGATTTTGGGACACACGGGTTTTTCTGTACCAGTCATTTTTTGTTGAATTTATCCAGGAGTTAAAGTAGTTGGGTCTGCTGTGTTTTGCAACAGTGATTTTTATTGTGTTACTCCTTTGAAAAGGATTTTCTTAAGATATGGCCATCTCCAGCTGTGGTGGATCCTTTAGTTTCTTTAATAAAGGTCATAGTTTGTGGAGAATTCCCCTTTGTTTAAATATCTTGCAGTCAGGAAGGTGGAAGCCGTTGCTAGTACATGTACAGTTGTGTTCAAAATAATAGCAGTCAGACATCACTAACCTGATCAATCACTGTTTTTTGGTAGAAATGATATTTCTACATGACAAATACTTTACTAGCAGGTGTAGTAGAGCAGTGTTTTTCAACCTTTTTTGTGCAAAGGCACACTTTTTTCATGAAAAAAATCACGAGGCACACCACCATTAGAAAATGTTAAAAAAATTTATTGAAAAACTTTTTGACTTGAGGGCCGCAATGGGTTCATATATTGGACCCGGGGGCCGGACCAAGAGTAGATGAATGATGTGTATGTGTCATCCATAGTAAGTATAGTAATATTCCCCCATAGTAAGCATAGTAATTAATCCCCCATATAGTAATTCATCCCCCATAGTAATTCATCCCCCATATAGTAATTCATCCCCCCATAGTAATTAATCCCCCATATAGTAATTCATCCCCCTCATCCCCCATATAGTAATTCATCCCCCATAGTAATTCATCCTCCATAGTAATTAATCCCCCATATAGTAATTCATCCCCCATAGTAATTAATCCCCCATATAGTAATTCATCCCCCATAGTAATTAATCCCCCATATAGTAATTCATCCCCCATAGTAATTCATCCCCCATATAGTAAATTCATCCCCCATATAGTAATTAATCCCCCATAGTAATTCATCCCCCATATAGTAATTCATCCCCCATAGTAATTCATCCCCCATAGTAATTCACCCCCCATATAGTAATTCACCCCCCCTATAGTAATTTCACCCCCCCTATAGTAATTCATCCCCCATATAGTAATTCATCCCCCATATAGTAATTCATCCCCCATAGTAATTCATCCCCCCTATAGTAATTAATCCCCCATATAGTAATTCATCCCCCATAGTAATTCATCCCCCATATAGTAATTCATCCCCCATAGTAATTCATCCCCCCTATAGTAATTCATCCCCCATAGTAATTCATCCCCCATATAGTAATTCATCCCCCATAGTAATTCATCCCCCATATTAATTCATCCCCCATATTAAGTCCCCCAAGCCCCCCCTGTGTCAATTCACTTACCTTTGCTCCGCGCGTTCCTCTCGCCGTTCCGGTGTAGCATGAAAATCTGTCTCCTATGAGGATCTGTCCCCTCGACGTATCTGCGCATGTGCCAGTTTCAGGCATTAGCAGCCGATCGGCGATCTCCGGCACATACGCAGATACGTCGAGGGGGACAGATCATCCTGACAGTAATCACGCTCCGCGGGCCGGATTAAAAGGTCCGCCGGGCCGTATACGGCCCGCGGGCCATAGTTTGCCCATTGCTGTTCTAATGATTGGTCTATTTGTGAGCCAAGGCCACGTTACGGATGAAATTGCAATTTTTTCCCATGGCACACCAGACAATATCTCACGGCACACTAGTGTGCCGCGGCACAGTGGTTGAAAAACGCTGTAGTAGAGTAATAGAAATCCAACAGACCCAACAGTCATGACATGCAGGCTGCTGATTCTGTGTAATTGAATCACTAATTGAAAGGGGCATGTTCAAAATAATAGCAGTGTGGAGTTCTATTAGTGAGGTCATTCATTATTTGAAAAACAGGTGGCAATTATTGCCCTTATTTAAGGAAGGAAGGCAGCAAATGTTGTACATGCTGGTTACAGTGCATTTCGCTCTGAAATTCTGAGGAAAATGGGTCGTTCCAGACATTGTTCAGAAAAACAGCGTACCTTGATTAAAAAGTTGATTGGGAGAGGGGAAAACATATAAAGAAGTGCAGAAAATGATAGGCTGCTCAGCTAAAATGATCATAAATGCTTTAAAATGGCAACCAAAACCTGAAAGACGTGGAAGAAAGCGAAAAACTACCATTCGAATGGATAGAAGAATAGCCAAAATGGCAAGGACTCAGCCAACAATCAGCTCCAGGAAGATGAAAGAAGGTGTAAAGTTACCTGTGAGTACTGTTACAATTAGAAGATGCCTATGTGAAGCCAAGCTATCTGCAAGAAGCCCCCGCAAAGTCCCACTGGTGAAAAAAAAAAGTGCTGAAAAGGTTACAATTTGCCGAAGAGCACATTGACTGGCCTAAAGAGAAATGGTGCAACGTTTTGTGGACTGATGAAAGTAAGATTGTTTCTTTTTGGGTCTAGTGGCCAGAGACAGTTTGTCAGACGCCCCCAAACACTGAATTCAAGCCACAGTGTACTGTGAAGACAGTGAAGCATGGTGGTGCAAGCATCATGATATGGGGATGTTTCTCATACTACGGTGTTGGGCCAGTTTATCGCATACCAGGGATCATGGATCAGTTTGAATACATCAGAATACTTGAAGAGGTCATGCTGCCTTATGCTGAAGAGGAAATGTCCTTGAAATGGGTGTTCCAACAAGACAACGACCCCAAACACTAGTAAACGTGCAACATCTTGGTTCCAGACCAACAAGATTGACGTTATGGAGTGGTCAGCCCAATGCCCGGATCTTAATCCAATAGAAAACTTGTGGGGGTGACATCAAAAATGCAGTTTGAGGAAAAACCAAGAAATAGAGAAGAACTGTGGAATGTAGTCCAATCATCCTGGGCTGGAATACCTGATCACAGGTGCCAGAAGTTGGTTGACTCCATGCAACACAGATGTACAGCAGTTCTCAGAAACAGTGCTTATACAACTAAATATTCATTAAGTGATTCAAAGGAAAGCAAAATCTTGAAACATTTTTCAGTTTATATAGTGAATGTTTGAGTTTGTAAAGAAGAATACAAACACTGCTATTTTTTTGAACAGTCTAATATTCACTTTTCTTCAATTTTTTTTTAGAGGAGCAACACAAATTTGATCTATTTTTCTTCACGTTTTGATTTAGAATAGAATGGGTAGTGTTCCCAATGCATTTGTGTGTATGGAAATAAAAACTATAAGAAGAATTTGGAGCTTTATTCACTTTTTTCAACACACTGCTATTATTTTTGAACACAACTGTACATGGTCACGAGATCCTTACTGTATCCAGGTTTAGCATCAATGCTTGTTTCAAAAACCTTTACAGAGTGTGCAAAACTTTTATACAGTTTAGCTGAGGAACAAATCTCACATGTTTTATAGCAGAGTAGGTCGGTAATGGGGTGCTCCATTCAGGATCCTTGGTCTCTGAGCTGAGAGGTTCAGGATCTGCATGTTACTGTGGCTGAAGTGTTGGGTTGACCAAGTATCTAGAAAGCCTCTTACAAATCTGGCATTCACAGATTTTCAGTAGAAAGAATTGAGTACTGTCCGTTGGACACTTTTTTTTATTTGCACTAACATACAATATGAGGACAAGCTTTTGGGGAGTGTCCCCCTACTTCAAGGTCCAAGCAGTACTATACAAATCACAAAGATTTAGCAGAATGTTAGAAGAGATGGAAAAAAAAAAGGCTAAAGATAAGACACAGCAGAAGCAAAGGGGGGGGGGGGGGGGGGGAGACAACACACACTCACTTGACAGAGGGAGTCAAGCTTGAGCTGATAGTCATAAAACTGTTGGATAATGGTTGAGGAATCCCATGTCTAAATTCAGGCCCTTATCTCTTGTGTCAAATAGAATGATCATTCTTAGTTCAAAAAGTTTTTCTTCTTTCCTGAATGGATTTGAAATTTCCTTTAAGAACTATAATATTGAGGTCTTCCCCATTGTGTCGGTCTGGTTGTGCGAAAATGGTGTCCCACAGGTGTGCAGAAGTCATCTTTAGTTGTCCTTTGATGGTTTTGTCTGTGCAAATTCATCCTTGTTTGCAACATCTGTCTG